TTACTGAGAATTCACAAGAACCTATTAATTGCCTTCCCAGAATCATGATTGTGACAAGGGGTTCATACGAGATGCTCCTACATATAATGAGACTAATTTGTAAATGTTCCCATAATGCACTAATTCTGAAGGAGCTCGCTGTCAGGGGAAAGTCTCTCCTGACCTCAGTTAATGACCTCCTTCCATCGTGAAGCATGAAGATTGATAGATCTTGTAATTTTATCCCTGTTAATTTAACTGCATATGCTATTCTTGGGCAACTTGGTGATCACAAGATTTGAAATATTGATAAGAGTCTATAGGACAGCAGTAAAGAAATAGCGGTTTTTAACAGACTGTGAAGGAACTTACAGCTTGTTAAAGAAAACTGGCTGCAGCTCAAAAATGCACGGGAAACTGAGAGAGTGGGAAGCATTTAAGATAGAGTCAAGGAAGTAAACCATAAAATTTATATTTATGAAGCTGGTAAAGCCAAATGAGCAACAGGAACCACTGTGGCTGAGCATGGAAGGGAAGACATACAGAGCAGCAGGGAAGCAAGGAAGATTAGAAAAATAAAAATCCACATGTATACTGCAATATTTCACCACCTCAACGTTTGCAGCTAAAAATTGTTGAGAACATTTCCAACTTGGATGCAGCTCTGCCTGGCAGGGTGCTGAACTGCCCAGTACCCAAGCCAGCCCAGCCCCAGGCAGTTCCTCAGTGGATATTTACCAGTGATCCCGTCACATCCCCTGGACCCTTCTCCCCTCATTCTGCCACCATGCTGGCCCCTGGACATCTGCATATTGGAACACCCAGTTGTCACATCAGCAAATTCAACTGCACAGCCTACAGAGCTGTGAAAGATAACAGCTTTTGTGAGAAGAAGGCCTCAGAATGTAGGGAAATGCATTTTGTACAGAATACATTTCTTTCAGGCATTGTAGGTGATGTTGTTTTGTTCAAGCTGTAACCCACCCCTAATACACAGGGGAATTATAATGCCCAGCCAAGAAAAAAAAATTGTTGACAATTATCAGTTAAATTCCTTGTCATTCTACTGAGATATCCGGTATTATCTCTATCTCAGAGATGAAGAAATCAAAACAAATAGAGTTTCAGCAATGAGACCAGCCAGCTGAGTTGTGGAGAGTCACTGTTGTAGCCAAGAGGGAGAGAAACTGTACGTTTTCATTACTTCTGAAATCTTTACCCCTAGAACTTGAGAAGGAGAATAAAGAGATTAAAAATGGTAGCTTGAGGGGCCAGCCCAGAGGCCAACTGGGTAGTGTTCCACATACTCTGCCTCAGCAGCCGGAATTCGCAGCTTCAGATCCCTGGTGTGCACATACACCACTCACCAGCCATGCTATGGAGGTATCCCACAAAGTAGAGGAAGATTGGCACAGATGTTAGCTCAGGGCGAATCTTCCTCACAAAAAGGGCGGGGAACATGGCAGCTTAAACCTTTCTCACTTTACTCATTTCTGTTGACCATCCTGGGAAAGAAAGACGAGGAAAGAAAAGAGGAAGTGGAGTTATAAAATAAATATGGAGGAGAGGGAGAAGAGAGAGTTGGCATAAAAGTCAAATGGTCAAACTGGAATTTACAGAGCCCCACATCTGAGCTGTGGAGAATCCTATGGCTGGAGCTCTTTGGGGAAGTGGTTTGGATCTGCGCAGAAGTGAAGAAGTAGAATGACATCTCCTAAAGTTAGGCACCATAACACAAAGGCCACAATATTGGACTGAATGTCCAGTGGACCTGAATTCTAATCCAGTCCTGCTACTCTCAAGGTCTATGTGACCATGAGGAAATTGCTGAAGTGCCTTCTGGATCTGAGGTTGTTTGCCAAAGAATGGAAGTTCCCTCCCACTTCAGTCTCCGACCCCTCAAGCTCTGTTCCTAACCGAAATACATTTAAACCAATGACCAAGCAGAATTGAGCTTTTAGAGAGAGCCTCCCTTCAGACAGCTGACAAACTACCTTCCTAGGGTTTCTGTTAGCCAGAAGCTTTACTCAGCAGTATAAGCCTCCTGGATGGCAACCAATATTTTTCATCTTAGAACTTAGAGTTCTCCAAGATAATTGAGCTCCTGTCTGTCACACCTTTGGGGCCACAAGTTGCCTGAAAAGGGCCAGGGATGAAAGTGCTCACACTTCCTGAAAAATCGAGACCTAGACGCTATGACATCAAAGAATTCTCTGAAGTGCAAAACCCTCCACTGCTATAATGGAGTCCAAATATCTACTCCACGTACCAGAATTCACAAGAAATACAGTGGAGAGACTATTTTTGTCAATCTGTTTTCTTTAAGTTCTGAATGTCTTGGATTCAATATTAGAGGTTTCCTTTGTTCCCTTTTAGAAGACACTGTCTGACAAGCACAGAGAAAAGTACAGTGAGATGTTTTTATAGAACTTATCAGCAAAGCTTATTATGAAGCTTGAAGCATTAGGTTTTTGAATATATATTTTAAATAAATAGAAAAGTAATGATGGGCTCCCAACAATTGTAAAATTAGAGGTTCCAATGTGATTCTAACAGATGGCATCCTGCTTTGTGTTATCGTGTTCGAGTTAGCAACAGTCTTCATTATACAGAGATATTCTTCATTGTGTGATCTTCATAATAGGGATTAAGGAAAGGATATAAATGCAGTAATTTAGCAGATCTTATTGTTGGAAAGTGCTCATTTACTTCTAACTTGCAGCATGACTCTGTTGCTTAAAAAATGTTTTCCTGCTGTTTGTGAGCAGCAGGGAGAATACAATACATTGTTGTTAAGGTTGTTGATTCTAACTAGCTTTCATTAGGTATAAAAACCCACAAAGAATCAATAAATACTCTGTTTTTCTAAAGAGCGTTCAAGGGTGGGTACTGTTAATGCGTTCATTGTGTCCAAATAGTATTAGCCCAAGAGAAATAATAGGAAAAACATGAATAAGAAATGGAAAATACTCTCTGTTAGTAATGCTTTCCATGCAATAAAGCATTTCAAGTCAATAACTTGATTACTACTTAAAGACTGGCACGATGTTAAAAAAAATTCCCGTACATAACTGGCCATCTATGTTTAATGGGATTTTCTGCACAAATATTACATAGTCCCTGATGGAGACATTAGTTGTTCGTGGCAACTGACCATCTTGATCCTATTCCTTTAAGCTAGGCTTATCCATCCCCATATCACAAGGCTACTAGCCAATTAAAAAAAAAAATGCTATGGCTTCTTCAGTTCTATCTCGGCATTGCCTATTGACCCTCAAGGCCTATTACAATGCAATAAACATGTTAGGTGTTCAATAAATGCTTCGTGTACAGAAGTGAATGCTCTCTAATAACTGTAGTTTGTTTTCTCAAAATTGCTTGCTTGTAGTAAAGCTAGATTCATAGGAATACTACACATGGAAACTGGACTAAGATAATAAACTCATTGTTTATTATTCTAATCACTTTTAAGATCACAGATCCTTTTGAGAAATTGATGAAAGTAATGAACTCTCTCCTCAGAAAAATTCACACGTGCACATACACATTTGATTTTACATACAATTTTACGTGGTTCCATAAACCTTTTTTTTTTAAAGATTTTATTTTTTACTTTTTCACCCCAAAGCCCTCCGGTACATAGTTGTATATTCTTTGTTGTGGGTCCTTCTAGTTGTGGCATGTGGGACGCTGCCTCAGCGTGGTTTGATGAGCAGTGCCATGTCCACACCCAGGATTCGAACCAACGAAATACTGGGCCGCCTGCAGTGGAGCGCGTGAACTTAACCACTCAGCCACGGGGCCAGCCCCTCCATAAACCTTTTAAAGCATGATGGATTCCAGGTGAAGAATCCCTGACCTCCCAAGACAACGAAATGGTCATGGAAATGCTGGTGATACGCATGACATCAATTTTATTGATATATATTGGACCAGATTTGAGCAAACAATGATAAAATTCTTCATAGTGTTATATAATCAATTTTTAAGAACATCCAAGTATGCATATAACAGGGCATTCACATTCAGGGGCTGATTATTTACTTCTCAAAAGAATTCTTCAATCTACAAAGACAGTAAGCATCTTGAAGCCAGCGGGTCGGTCCATGTCTTTGAATCTATAGTCCCTACTACATAGTTGGCCTTTGTTAAGCGTTTGCTGTGTGTGTTGGATGAATATATGGTTCTCTTGCAGTTTCTGTAAATAGCTATGCTTCATTTAAGTGCTTTCATTTAGGTCATTAAATGCTTGCATGGATGTGCAAAAAGCCTCTGTCAACTGAAGACTACTCAGAAAAGAAGATAAAGCGTATCTCAAATCGTAATGTGAGTCAATGGGAAAAGTGATTTACTTTACAAAAATGAAATTTACACAAAACTAGTGCATAAATCAAGATCTCCTCTCTCTCATGAATAATTTGAGTCACCTAGTATAATTTATAGCCTTTGTCATGAAACCAATTTAAAACCCTATTCCAATTTTAGTATATCTTCTGTTGAAGCTAGCACAAATCCTGATGCAGAAAACTTGTCTGAATTGCATAGATTTTTTTCTAGACTAAAGGATGTGAGCTCTTCAAACACTGGACATTTTTGTTTTGTTTCATTTTGTTTTGCTTTTTAGCTCTTTGCTGAGATAAATTTTGAAGTTTGCTAGATCATTGTCACAAAGAATTCTCTTTATGTGAAGGTTATACATAGCTAGTGGCTCTAAGTAAAGAAGCAAATGCCATATTGAGGGGGATTACCTCACTCCTCTTCTGGAAATAGTAGAAATGTCCCACCTCTTGATTGGGGGGAAATATTCATGAGGAAAGTTTTTCTAACTCCAAGCAGGAGCACCTTATGGCTTTACCAATAAGCCCCTCAGTGGAGAGGTGCCAAACTGCTTATCCAGGAATTTAGCTTCTTCCATGGATTAACTAGTTTGCAAAGGCTGCTGTAACGAAATGCCACAAGGTGGCTTACACAACAGAAATTTATGTTTTCATAGTTCTGGAGGCTACAAGTCCAAGATCAAGGTGTTGGCAGATTTGGTTTCTCCTGGGGCCTCTCTCTTTGGCTTGCAGATGGCCACCCTCTTGCTGCCCCTTCACATGGTTGTCCCTGTGCACACACTCCGAGTGCCTCCCCCTCTTCTTAGAAGGACAGCAATCCTATAGGATTAAGGCCTCACCCTACAGGCCTCTTTTTAACTCAGTCACCTCTTCAGAGACCACATCTCCAAATACAGTTACGTTCTGGAGATCTAGGGGTTGGGACTTCAACATAAAAATTTGGGGGGAGACACACTTCATCTCATAACACTCCAGAATCCAGGAATCTGACAGCTTGCCCTCTCACATCCCTGTCCTCACTGACCACCTCCAGATAAGCTTATCCTCCTAGGATCAGGCTTAGAATCCCGTAACTTCTTTCTGATCCCAGGGCCCATGGTGTCTCTGAAGCTATTGCGTAGTTACTCCAGCTTACTTTTCTACTGCTGCCAAAGTAACTAGGGGCCAGGAAGAGAGTTCTATGTAGAATTCTGAGTGACTTGCTCATTCTATTTGATTATCTGTGTGTGTGTATGTGCACTCTTCTTGATTTGAAAACAAACCTCCAGTCCTCTGTTTGAATTTAAGCAGCAATAAACCAATGACAATAATTCCACTCACATTTGTCTAGAACTCTCCATTAAGAGGAGGACTGTGGAAGAAAGTCCAACAAAAGGGACTGAAAAGGGACAATCAGACTGAAGGTGAGAGAACAATGTTAAAGGAAGAAAAAAGAAAATTTGGATGCTGCAGAGACACCTGTAGAGAAGTTGACCAACAAAAGATCACAGAGTTTGAAAATTAAGAAATCATCAATAATCTTAAGAATAGTAGAGTTGAGTGGAATTTTGGAAGCCAAATACAATTGGTTGAGAATTTGATAAGAAATAGTTAAAGCAGACCATCAGCATGGCTGAAAGGAAAGCTACGTAGGCCTCTCCTGGGGTTGGTGACACCAGACAATTTCAGTAGTTCCCAGTCAATGCCCATCTGAGATGATACATGACATGTTTCATATGGCAACTGGGAAAAGGAGGCCTTTTGGGAACTGGGTTCATCTTCAAAAATCATTTTGCTGAAAAATCAATTAAGTGAAGAGTGGATTCACCAAATTTATTAGTGTATTGAAAATTTTTTTCTCTTCATTATTTATAAGTTTATAGTAATTAGTGCTAGATGAGATTTAACAGATTTTTGAAGATTTGGGGGAAGTTTTGGTTGACTGATTTTCATTTTGTTCTTTATGCCACCACTTTAAGGAATATTTAATCCGTCAAAAGTAAAGTATCATGGAGTGCTTTAACCTAATTATATATCTATAATATCCAGAATGTATATTTAAATACTAGTAACCAAAATTTCAGTGTTTTCTATGGGGTTTCAGGTTATACTGATCCTAATATATTGTACTCGTTTTTTGCCTTGCCTGCACTTTGCCCTGGTTAAGACCCTTTTGCCAATATATCAAGTAGAATAGCCCATTTATGTTGTTATTACAGCAATTAATAACCAAAATATAATATGCGGTATAGTTGTTCTTATTGCTTCATAGATAATTTCCCCCCAAAATGTACCATATCCCCAAGATGCAAGGAGTTGATGAACCTGTCAGCAATTGAATAAAACTTATCACAGAGAATCGTCCCTTGTATTGACACATCCAATTCCATCTCTAAAAGCTCTGCTGTAGCCTACGAAAGCTAGAATTTTTTTAAGTATCTGTCCATCGCTTAGTGCATAGCTGTGGTGCCTGAGCTCTTTATGACTGCTGGATGAGGCCAGTTCAGGATTTGCTGCATGGGTCCTGAGGACGTAGGGCAGCATCAGCCACAGCATCACTGGCGGACCTGTGATTCCAACGCCAGGCTGTGTCATCAGCTCCATAGAAAACTGAGATCCTAGGTCCTTGGAGCCCAGAGAAGACCTGAGCAGGAGTGACCACCTGGGGTCACATCTAACTAACCTATTATTTGATCTCTCCACCAAAATTTTGTATTTAGATTTAATGTAGTTCAGGTTTGGAGTCCTAATCACATGGTCCTTCATAATAATCCCATCTAAGCAGCTTCATTTTCTTTCCTGTTTTTGAATGTTCCAACCTTCCCTTTTTCTGCAACTGTCATCAAGTCTATGCCTTTGGATGCTTTACATAGTGGCATAAACATTCATCTCCTAAAAGACTGATATGGACGATACGAGCGCCAAGACAAATTTTATTTGGGCCAAAAATATACTTCTTACTAATGAGAGAATAAAAATTGGATTATATATAAACATATTTACAGAATCCTTCAGGGATAGAAGAGGGTAGCTCTTGACCCATCCATTTTAATCGTTGGCCTCATAAGGAATCTGGTGCATGGCTCAGAGTCAGACTGCTGGGCTCACTCATGAAGTCAGCTGCAAAGTATGTAAAAAGGGCAGTTCTCCATAGCAGTTAAAAACTGGAGTCAGGCTTCCTAAGTTTTAGCTCTGGTCAGTAATAAGTTCAGATCACCTATTACTTAATATTTGATAAGTTATTTAACTTCTCTCTGCCTTTGTTTTATCTTTCATGAAATTAGGTGAGAACTGGATGAGTTCGTGTGTGTGTGTGTGTGTATTATACATATATATATATATATGTGTGTGTGTGTGGCACATAATATACACTCACTAAACGTTAGTCATTTTGTACACACTGAAAAAGTCTGTAGATCACAGCTTAGGAACACACACTTTACTTTGTAAGTTCTTCCCCTCTTGCTTTTCACAAAGCAAGCCTAAAAAGTCGAACTTAAATTAAATGCTATTTTTTCTCTGATATAGAGTTTATTGATTTAAGAAATATTTATTGAGTGCATACCATACGTCATGCTTCGTGCTGAACACGTAATAAAAAACAAAACCGGCGCGGTCTCTACCCTCGAGGAGTTTACAGTCTAGCAGAGAGGCCCTCCAACTATACATAAAGTGCAATTAGAATGTATGTGATGAATGACAGGAAGGAAAAGAACAGGTGTAAAATTCAAAGCTTCCATCTGTTTAAACCTGTGCTTATGATAGGTGGAAACCAGAAGTGCTGCCAGGCAAGAAGAGAGGTATTTTACTCTCCTCTGCACTAAAGGATATCCTTGTAGAAATTAATCACGTCCAAGGTGAGTCTCCTTTAATACACTTGTATCTGTCTCTATTGAGACAGTTATAGCAGGATTCACCTGTCTCCCTGGAGAGTCATCTGTTAACCAGTGAAACTTTCCCTAAAAGAAAAATACAAATGGAGAAAGAAGTGGGTAATATGTCATGAAAGAGGGAGAGAGGAGAATTAGGAGAGGGTAGAAAATACTCCCCTGTCTCCTCAGCATGCTCAGTCTTCTCTGCCCTGAAGCCACGTTTCTGTGCTGTCTCCATCCTCTTAGGTAGCTAGGTGGGCTGGAAAGTGCACACTGAAGAGTCTTGGCCTCCTCCACACTATTGACGCCCTTCAGTATGGGCTTCACAGGACTAACATGTCAGGGAGGCATCGATCCCTTGGACGTAGTTGCGACAGGCCCAAGGAGACACAGATTTGCACTAGCAGTACTGGTGACCCACTGATTTGGCTTGCCTGGGACTGAGGGGTGTCTCAGGTTATGAGACTTTCAGTGCTAAAGCTGGGACATCCCTGAGCTAACCAGGACAGTTGGCCATCCTAACAGCAGGGAAATCTCACAAAGGCAGACACCTGCCTTACCCTCTGGTGTATCTCCAGTGTAGGCCTCTAGTAATGGAGTGTGGTGGTTAAA